TGAAGGAATTGGGATTGGTTTGGCTCTAGAAGGCAAGGAGAGGTGTTAAAACATTTTTAGAAGTACTCTGAAGAACTTAAAGTCTGTTCAAAAGGAGGAAGAATAGTTTTCTACATCCATAATGGAGAAAGTAAGACATTAAGAGCTTAAATTGCAACTAAACAGCCTGAGGTTGGATGTTAAGAAAAACTACCAGTACAGAGCACAAAGCATTGGAATATGTTTTCAAATGAGCATGGGGAGTTTCTGTCTTGAGGTCTTTCAGTACAAGGCAGAAAGATTTGTGCCAATAGTAATCTGTGTATAATAGATCCTGCCTTCTAGCAGCACCAAGAGGAAATAAGTAACTCTTGCTACTTCCTGTCTACCTCTGAATGTGTTTCTACTCTGGCAGTTTTAAGTGGAATAAACCTGGTGCTGTTTTTGCCTTGGCTTTATCTCACCTTTGTGAATCCCTCTTTTATTGCATTGGTGAGGCTGATGGATCAGGGTGTGTTCACAAACTCCCTGCACTTGCGCAGATCCATGCTTCAGTGTGTGTCCAGCCGGGATAATTGCTGCCTGATGTCAAAGGTGTCATAAATTATTTTTCTCAGAACACAGTAACGCTCAGAATACATAGAATTACACCTTGAGTCATCACATTTTCCATCTGCTGAATTATATTTCAATCTGAGTTCCTTTATCCAGAATATTACTTTATAGTACCCACACAAGTGCTTCACTCAGGGAAAGTTCTCATCAATGGATTTTGCCCAAGTTCTGACTTCTGTATCAATTCTTATGCTTCACACAGTATCACTGTCTATCATATTTACTGTCTGCTAAACTGCTTGTGTAAGTGTAGTGGCTTTTCAGTTATATCCCATTTTGAGTTCAGCTGTGATTGATTCATTCCAGGTCAAATTCAAGACATTTTCACACATTAGCTACCTCCTGCCTTAAAAGAAAAACTACCACAGTTTGGATAAGGTTTGGTTTGACTCCCCAGTAATAGATATGTTACAATAACCTTAGAAATCTTATAATTTAATTTATAATAGAGGTCTTGAACTCTTCCTGTTGCTAACATCTTATCCATCTCTGCTAATTTTCCAAGGTTCCTTGACTGCTTTGTTATATCACAGGGAAATAACGTGGGCGTCTTAGGAAGCTGCAAGGGGTTTATCCAAATTAGTTTGGGGTTTAGATGGTCTTATCAGTGACTTCATTCTAACTTCAAAAGGACACTTCATAATTCTAAAGCTCCACATGGTCTTATCAACTAGAACAAAGCTGCTTTTCCTTTGGTCTCCTCTTAGTTATCCACATGAAAAGTGCACTCACAAAATCCAAGGGGTGGCCATTTCAAAATCTGTTTGCCATTATTCTAACAATATGGTGGCTCTTTTTTTTTTTCAACTAAGTACTGACTTCTATAGAATTGCAAGTTGTGCTGGACCATTGAGATGCTATTGCAGCTCTGGAGCTGGGCTCTGCTTGCAGCTCTGATTGTGCTTTTCTACCTTTCTGAGCCACCTTTCAAACTGAAAACATTGTAGAAAACAAATCCCTCTTTTGCTGTATCATTCCAGTTTTTTCCTTTGCAACTGAACAGAAATCAGACTAAGCTTTGAATGTTCCTTTTATTGTCTGTATTTCCCCCCACTTCATTTAATGGCTGGCTTGCATGTGGTGTATATGTTTAAAGAAATAATAGATGATTTCACAGATATGTGATGTCTCAGGTATGCCCAGTGGACTAGGAAGCTGAAAACCACTCCAGACCATGTGAAACCCCACGTGCCTACACATGTCCAATAAATAATGTTCTGACATGACACTAAGGCTGTCACTCGCATGGAAGCTGAGCAGTGTGGGTCCCTCCAAGGACCACATTTTTGTGATGGCAAAGTCAATAGTTGTTGCTAAATGGAAAACCTGGCCCTTGCCTCTACTATTTCCCCTTGTGGTTCCGTGCATCATGGCTTTCTAGTGTGTGTCCTGCCTCTTCCATCTTGAACTGCACTGGTAAAATACATGCAAATCATTTAGCCCTGGTTGCCTGGGCAAACCTTTTATGACCATGCTTATGCACAGGCATAAAAAGTGTAGCTTTACATTGTGAAATATATTCTGTCTGGTTTAGAAGAATAGGACTGTTCAGATTTTAAGGGTTCTCTTCTCCAAGCTGGTCCTTCTGATAAATGGAATGGGTTACGTTTTTGTTGGCTTTGTTACTTCCATCACTGTGTTTCCAATTTATCACCATAGTTTTGAGAAATTGTTAGACTATGTTGCACTTGTAAGCACCATGGGGAGGAAAAATATTCATTTATTACTGCTATTGTGCCTGATTATATTATGCATATCCAAAGGACTAAAATGAATTATCCTCTTTAATTCTCCTCTCACAGTAGACAACATCACCTTTCTTTACCCTCTTTCCAAAACCAGCTTGGAAGTTAATTTTTCATGTTCATTTTAAATCAGCCGTACAGAGTGGGAGCAAGTGTGCATTCGAAACAGGGCAGAAGTAACAAGAGCCCAGAGACTTAAGCTCCATTTCTGGCTCTGCCTGTAGCACTTCGCAGCCTTGAGCAGTCATTTGACCTCTGCTCTCTCAGTGCATGAAATAGGAAGAACATCAGCTTCCTACAGATGTCTCTAATAATTTGCCAGAATCATGTCTTGTCTAATCACCTGTGTTTAATATCTCCAAGGGTCTTGCAAAGTCAGTGAAGGCTGAAGCAGCAAATTTTGCATGCAACCAAAAATAAAATGCTCTTGGACAATTAAGACTTGAAGAGCTTCCAAAGGGGCTAACCCAAGCCAGGAGAATGGCTCAGAAAGCTGTTTGATGCTGATAAATACTGATAAATGATTTATCCCAGCCCATCAGGAGAGGGAATTTAGTGTGTATGGGACAAAAGGCTGAACCAAGCCCTCAGCACAGCACCTGGTGCAGCAGTAAGTTGCCAGGGTGAGGGTCCAGCTGCCTCCACTTTGGCTCTACACACACAGCTGAGGATGATCACCCAGATTAAAGGACTATGGAGCCTCAGAGAACCTTCTAATGGTTTGTGTGTGTAGCTTCCCTCTGCTTCCCTTGAAGAAGGGTGAATTTGGTGTAGTTTGTAGCTCATACTGTGAGAGGGGTGACTACAGTGTAAGCTCTTTTTCTGTTACCCTCTTGGGTAGAGCAGAAGTTTCCTGAGGACTGACCCTGAGCAGAATGGCTGAGTGGCTCAACATCCTAGGGTGAGTTGTCCCAAGTCTATGTTTTCTTGGGGGGAGAAGGGAAGATATTCCTTTTCTGATCAGGGTTGTGTTATGTCCCAGTTCCAGGCACTGAGAGCCCTTTATAAATAAGTAGTGTTTGTTACTAAGCGGGCTGGGCGGCCCAGTGCTGCTAGACCAGACCTTTTGAGCTCCCTTTGGGCCTGGAGAGTGCTGATCCATTTCCTGCTCCAGCTCTGGGATTGGGACACTTGGGGGGGGGGCAGCTGTGGAGTAATACTAGGGAGGCTGCGCTGAGCTGCATTGCAGCCTGGACCTCTCCCTCCGTGTGTGATTTGCTCCAGTGATTAATGACAGTGGCTGTTTAAAAACCTGGTGCTTCGTTTGCAGTCTAAACTTGTCTGGTTGCAGGCTCCAGCCAGGGGCTATTTATCTCTGTGTGCAAGCTCTGGAGGTGGGCACCGTGGGGGAAGGGGTAGGTGCTCATCTGCGGGTGGGGGATGAATTTAGCCATTTTCCCAGTATTTTACAGGGATTGTTTTCTAGCCTTGGGGATTATCTTGCCCCAAGGGGAAGAAGTCTCCACCTTTGCAGAGCCTGCCCCTGGCAAGCCCTGGGCCCCTCAGGTACCCCAGCAAAAACCCAGTTTCAGTGGTAAACCATGGCTGTCTTTGGATGGGTGCATTAACAGGGAAGGGGCAGAGGGGGTATTGTGAGTGTTAAGAATTTGAAGGTAAAAAGAAACCTTAAGAAGCTGTGTCATCCTAAAATACGAAATTCCTCCTTGTGTTGTTTGGCTCAGATGAGTTGTCTGGTCAGTGAGCTGCAACAGCCCAGGTTCCTCCGGAGCTGGTAAGGCCAGCAAGGGGGTCTGGCAGTCACCAAATGGGGGTTGTACAGGGGTTTTAAACACATATTCTGCTGCAGTACAGAGAGAGAGCCTTGCTGCTGGCATCCTTATTGGGGTACCGCCTTTGTGAAATACCCCCATCCTTTCAAAACTGTTCCTCCTGTCTGGGGCTGATTGTGCAGGTCTCCAAGCTCAGGGCTATCCCGGGTAGCAAAGGGGGATAGCTCTGTGTGATGCCAGAATGAGCAAGATGGGCACATTATCATAGAAGGGTTAGGGTTGAAAAGGACCTTAAGGTCATGTAGTTCCAACCTGTGAATGAAGCATCTTTAAAATGATTTATTTCCTACCTTATCTGTGTAACTCTGGTGCGAGCGTGACACTAGGCACCAGCGTTTAGGGTTTCGCGCTGCACCGCCGAAGTGCGGGGCGATCCCCTCGCCCTGGCTTTCTGTTCATCAGGGAGACCCAGCGCCCCGTGCTCTGGCGATGTCCCGGGGTCGGGCTCCCGGGGGTGCTCCCAGGGCTCAGCCGGGTGGGAGCGCGGAGCCCCGCCGCGTTCCGTTCCGGCGGCTCGGCTCTGCCGGAGGAGAGCCCCTCCACGGTGGGGTCTGCAGCCAGGCCTGGCAAGGGTTAACGCTGAAGCCCCACGCCCCCTTTGACGGAATCGGGCCAACCTCGCCAAATTTGAAAAGGCATCCGGGGCCGAGAGTGCGCCCTGGGCGCAGAGATCCGCGCTGGCCCCGCACCCCTGCGCGGGAGCCGCTGCCGCCGGGCTCGGCGTGCCGAGGGACGGGGCTTGCCGAGGGACGGGGCTTCCCTTCTCTACCCGCAGTCCCTATATCCCGGCACCCTTGCCCCGTGGTGCCCGGTCCCGGGGGCACCTCCGCGCCGTGGGATCCCTCTGCAACCCCTGTCGCGGGAGGCACGCGCCTGCCGAGTCCTGTGAGAGGAAAAAAGGGGTGCAGGAGGAGATCCCCGTTCTTGCAAAAATGCAGTTGGCTCTTTTCTTGTCCTGGTGCTGCTGCCTGCATGGATGCGCGCTGGGGACTGGCTTCCTTTATCAATTCCCAGCATCAACCCTGCAGCACAACTACCCAGAACAGAGCTCGGGCTCGCCGGGCAGCGGCTTCGCCAGTCGCCGGTGAGTAAGACCGGGTCCGCCTCCCCGGCGAGGAGGCTGGGCCCCGCTGGTGCCTCTCGCGGGGAGCCGCGGGCAGGGTGCGATGGGCTGGCCCCGCTGCCGCGCTCGTCCCTGGTGGGATGAGCAGGCTTCCTACCTGCCCGCAGTAGCGTCCCTCTATGGGTAGGCAGCGACTGGGGAACCGAGGAGCTGCGCTTGGGCAAACCGAACCCGCTGACTTTTCCTTCTCGCCCTCCCATCCCCAGCCCGCCGGAGAAGGGCCGGTGGCTCCTGCCCCGGGATGCCGGCATAGGGAACTTACAGCCCTCGGCTGCGAGGAAAGACTTGTTCGGCTCAACAAAGGAAAGACCTTAATTACAGCTCTCTATTCAAGAGCCGCAGCTTTCAAATAGCTGTTTAACACCACACCTCCCACTCTTCTTTTCTCCCCCCCCACTCCAAACCAATTTCTTACAAACTTAATGTAAAGCAGTTTTGATATAGTGTATCTTGCTGCTTCAGCAGAGCAAACAGTTTCGGCTTCTCCCCCTCTCCTCTGTTTTCTCTGGGTATTTCTCTAGAGGTGAAACATCTGTTCAGATGAATGAGCCGCACTGTATGAAGCGAGAGAGTGGCTTAACCTGATTCCAGTTGTTCTTGAATTTCACTTCTTCCCCCCCCCCCCCCCCCCTTCCTTGTGATTGCCTTAAATGGGGACTGGGGAATTTAATATTCGGGGCTTGTCCATCCTGCCTCTACGTCTTTTCCTCTCCCCTTTGCTAATACCCACTATGCACGAGTTACACTGCAGTGGAGGAGGGCTGGTGTTCACAGTGCTTAGTTGGGTTAGGAGCTGAGATAAGGCATCTTCACAGCAGCTTTCCCCCCTATGTTAGCAGTACAGGAGTGAGCACTAGCCTTGTGCCTTGCACGGTGCTTACATATGGTGCATATTTCATCTCCAAGTGGGGGTGGTTCTGTTTGCTGGCCTGTCAAACAGGCCTCAGTCTGTAGGGGGTGTGATGTTAAACTACAGTAACTGTCAAAGGGTTTGAAAAGGCAGAAAATTATAGGAGAGTAATGGGATAAACCTATCCCAGCTGGATCTGTTCCAAGGTACCCCCTTCCCAAAGCATGAGCTGCAATGAGAACCACATGTCATTTGTCTTACATATCTATTAGCCTGCAGATCTTTGTTCAGAGCTACCATGCTTACATGAGCACAGACTCTATCTTTGCTCACTGAAGTCCTTCCCCACTTCACACTCTTGCACGCTTTTCCCATAGCTCAGTTGTTTGGATAGCTGATGCTTTGTCAGGGGAACGTGTGCCTCTCCAAGTCTATAAAGTGGTGTATAAAACCATTTAAAACTGATTTAAACAATAATGTTGGGAAAACTGGTAGGTTTATTTTATTTTAGGAGTTTCTTTTGTCCAATGGAACTTTGCCATGTGAGAATCTTCCATTCTGGTTTAAAGGAGAGGGAGAAATAAAACAGGGAGCGGAAAAATAACTGGTGGACATTTTGAAATAAAACTTGAAGTGCTCAGTCAAATATTGTGCACTGAAGCAATCTTTGGATGTTTTAATTTTGCCTTGAGTGGTGGAGTTTTGTTGTTGGCAATGTCTAACAGCTTCACTTTCTGATGGGAAAAACTACCCAGCTATAATGTCAGACCTCTGGGGGGGAGCCTCCTGCAGGGTGCAGCTTCAGGTTGGGGTTTAATGTGGTTCTGAAGAAGAATGAGGCTTTTTGCTCTAAAGCCTGACATTGATCTGTGTGAGTATGAAACCTTTTTTTAGGGGTCTGAACCAGACTGGTATAAACAATTGTTGACATTGTTCAGTGTCCCATTTGCCACTTAAACAGAGGATCTCTGTAGCACTCGAATTCTGTGAAGCAATAGCAGCTCCATCACAGCAGAGCTTGCTGGCCTCTGCCCTGAAGAGGCTGCAGAGTACACAAGATGGTGGGTAGGTGTTTACTGTCCACATGGCCATTCTCACTCTCTCTTCTGCGACCTTCCCAGTGAATCCAGCGCCTTCTGACACTTTTCCTGGGTACCATCAGCCAGGTATAAGCAGGTCAGAGCCTTGAAAGTTTGGGCTGCAGCTCCAGGCTTTGGTATGTTGCAGCATATACTGATGTGGTGTTCTACAGCTGGCACATTTCCTTGATGCAAGGCACCTCATGTTCCTGCAGTTACCCTTTTCTGTCCTTGATCAGCAAGTGAAGTGTCAGTTGGCAGATCCTAGTTATTAGACCAAAGCCACTTGCAGCCTGTCTGTGTGTGTGCTTGGATTGCTTTGAAGCTCTGTAGAGGATGTGCAAGGACCAGTAACTGAAATCCCGGCAGCAGTGTGTGTTGATGTTGCATAGATGTAACAATAGCCTCACTATTCTGTTTGAAATTCACATTCAGCACACGCGTTTCTAACTTGATACTGTGTTAAGGTGATGGGAGGTGGGTCTAACCCTAAGTGTAAGAATGGAGGGGCTGTCTGCCAAGCAGAAACTGTTGTCTTCCAGGCTCGGACATGAGAAGCTTTGCTAACTGACTTAAGGAAAGCTTATTCCCGTGCTGGAAGTAGCTTGGTTGTCAAAGAACTCCATCTGTGTTAGCTGTCTTTGGAATTAGTGTTCTCCTAGCTTAACTTCTCATCCTATTTCCCTGTATTTTTACATAGTCATGCATCAAGCCTTTGTGAATTTGGCTGTGGGAGTTGGAGACTTATGAGGCTACATGCAGTGCTTAGACTGGAAACCTCTTTGGATGTGGACATAGCTGAAAGAACCCCCCCCCCAACATCAACCTGAAAGCATTGTAGGATGATTCTTACTGCTAGCTTTACAGTAGCATCACAAAATCAGCTGGCATAGGTGGAAAGTCCATCTGTGATAGACCTTCAGAACACTACACCTCAGCCTGAAAGTTCCATTCTGTAAAGGAGCAATAGAACCATGATGTTACAAATAACAGGACTGTCCAAACAGACTTTGTTATCCAGGTTACATTGGGAATTACATATTGGTACTTATTTTGGTCACTTGTAATTCCTAGTGCTTGCTACAGCACTGATGTTTCTTGAGGATGGATATGGGGAGGAAATGAATATTGGACAATTGAAATCTGTAAGTGGGAAAGGTATTTGAACTTAATCAGTTTGCTGTACTGTAGCTTGCCTTACTTTCTCTCCCCTGAAAAACCTGAAGTGTTGGTGCTTGCAGATACTTAGATGATGCTTGAAATACTTGACAGTTATTCCTTGAGGCTAGCAGGCTCCTATTAGGTCACTTGAATGGCTGGCTCTCAAGATCAAGGTGTCTGGGTGGACCAGTTGTAGGTAGATTGATTCTGTTTAAAGTAGCTGCCTGCATTGTGCCTGATCCTACAGCTATGCATTTGCTAGTAGAATTGCTCCTCTCCAGCCCCACTTGAAGGACTATACACAACTGGCACTGTATGGTAATATCCTCCAGCCTCTTAGGTGAGGTTTTAGTACTTTTAAGTAAGTGTAGGTCTCTTTCTGTGATAAAAGCCTGCTTTTAATATTAAAAAGTGATCTATAAATCAGCATCCTGATTTATGCAGTCTTCCAGAGTGCTTTCAGAACATGTATCTGGAGTTTTCCTGATGGTTGTCTGTTAATTCTGCCTCTACCAGAGATGATTTGAACCTGATTTCAGCCTCAAACTCTGAACCTCTTGTGGCTCTTAAGTGGGTGTGGAATAGAAAACTATACATATTGGAGAAATGTGGTTCTCTTTCCTTGTACTGACAGAATCTTGATTTCTGAGTCATTCTCTCCATCGCTTAATAGTCTGTTCATTGCCTGAGGTCTCTGGTTTTCTATCGTTTGCTGTGGACTGTGGGAGGATGTCAAGCAAACAGACTGGGATTTGTGTCATGCTGAGTCCTCTGCACTAATTCCCCTTTGAAGCACCCTACCCAGGTAACAGAGGAGGTCTTAAGCTCATCACCAGACCTTGAACTCTGAAGTGTTTGTTTCCTGGACTCTACAGCCACAGGATTTTCTTCTGACTTGTGGGGTTCAGTGCTGTAACTTTGCAATGCCATGAACAGTGAAGCCAATGGTAGTGTAAGGACCTAGCAACACTGGAATGACTTTGAAATACCAGACGTGACTGTAGTTACTGCAGTAAATTGTATTGGTTTAGGAAATCTCCTATGGTCTTGCCTTTCCAGCTGCTTGTGTGAATCATTTCCTCTCATGTAGGTCTCATTTCCCAGCCCTAGGAAGAAAAAGGGAGTGGAGAGGCAAAGCAATGGGTGGCAGTGAACTTGTGCTCCCCTTGGATAAATTAACAAATGTGTCTCTTTCAATAACCCTTATTTGTTCATTTTCTCAAAGCTCAGCTTGTTAGGGCACTGAAATCCTGGTCAAAACACACCAGGTTAGAAATTTCACAGCTCTGCCCTAAGTGGTTCTGTGACTCCTGGATCGCAGAATGTTTAGTCCTGTCTTTGGTTTATTGGGCTGTGTATTGATGAAGAGGGAAGGAATGAAGTGATGGTGAAAGATTCTAATGCGCTCCCTTGAAAGAATCTCTTTCAAACACAGAGTACATTAGGCCTGCTGGATTAGAATAATGGAGCAACTACTCATGCTCTTTCTTGCACTAGATTTCTAGCATGTCTGGAAACATTCCTGGTGTGTAAAGCACAGGCTACCTCTCCTGTAGGGTAATACCAGAATTCATCCAACCTCATTTTTGCAATATACTCAAAGCTCTCGGCTCACTTTTAATTAGAGAGATGCAGACAGTGGTTAAACTTACTTCCACTGAGGCATAACGTTTATTTTGGGGCTTTGAGCATAAAGCTCCCTGTGCCAACTTGGATATCACCAAGACTCTGTTAAGGATCAGAGCTGCTAAAGATGAAAAAAGCATAATGCTACTAATTGGGTTGCTGTCCTGCAACTTCTCAACTTCTTATACAGTTGAACAATACTATATCTCCTGCTTAGTGTTTTTATGCTCAATATGGTACTGATC